CAGCCAAGACAACGCAGGAGTGGCTTTGGGACAAGTCTCTGAATGTCCTTGAGTGTCCCAGCCAGAGCCCAGACTTGATCCCGATCAAACATCTCTGGAGAGACCTGAAAATAGCTGTGCAGCGACTCTCCCCATCCAACCTGAAAGAGCTTGAGAGGATCTGCAGAGAAGAATGTGAGAAACTCCCCAAATACAGGTGTGCCAAGCTTGTAGCGTCATACCTAAGAAGACTCGAGGCTGTAATCGCTGCCAAAGGTGCTTCAACAAAGTACTGAGTAAAGGGTCTGAATACTTATGTAAATGTAATATTTCATATCTTTCTTTAAAATTAGCAAAGATGTCTTAAAACCTGTTTTTGCTTTGTCATGTGGTATTGTGTGTAGATTGATGAGGGAAAAAAACGATTTAATCCATTTTAGTATAAGAATGTAACATAACAAAATTTGGAAAAAGTGAAGGGTCTGAATACTTTCCGAATGCGCCATACGTGTTTGTGAGAGTCTCACCTCATATTAGTGTGTAGCCCAAACTGTTCGGACGCTACAGTCAGAAGTTGGCAGATCGGCTGTACCGACTCCATATGAGTCCCAAGACGCTTGTGGGGGCAGTAGAGCAAAACGGAGAACACCACCATGTTCGTGAGTCCCATCATATAGTCATAATAGTTTTCTAGGCCAAACCGTTCGGACACTACAGAAGATTTTGTGAGAAGACCGATTTTCAGGATGTCTCATGGTCTGACAAACACCGCTCTAGCTCTGTCACAAGTGCGACATAGGCGGATGTGGTGGATTAAGACACATCCAATGCAAATAAAACTATCTTAAACTGACAGATTTTTATGGGGATTTTTGTATTCTGCTAATTCGATTTTTGCGGGGATGCGGACATCGACCTTAGTTAAACAACGGCAGCACAAAAAGGGTTCTTCTAAAGGGTTATTCTACGAGGACAAGGGTTCTATATGGAACCTTTTTCATCCTTCTCCAAGAAAGGGTCATAAAAGGCTTCTTTGTATGGAGAAAATGTTCTACCTGGAATGATAGCAGTTTCTTCTAAAGGACAAGCCGAAAAACCCTTTATTGTTCTAGAACCTTTTTTCTAAGAGTGTGGGTTGAAAGAACCCATCTTGTCTGATTCATTACTACTCAAACTTCCCTCTCCTCTTTGTTTACATCTGGGTTGGCCATACAACGCAGAGGTCACTTAAATGCAACAGCCAAGTATTCCTGCTCTTGAGCACTTCAGCTTGCAGGCTTGCTTTGATAGTTTGAGAATCTCGTGCGTCTTTATCCCGCCTCACATCTGAGGGAAAAGCATCACAGCTTTAAGGACGGATTAGACAGGTGGAGAAGGAGATAGAGGAGGGCTTCACCCGCTGAACTTGTTGACTCCGCCCTTCCTACCCTGGGAGCCCACGGTCCAGCCTGCAGGTTGGTCACTTCAGGTCTACACACATGCTTGGATGAGTCGGCTTCAGTGACTGCGGATACCATTCTTAGTCTTCCATGGGCATTGTTGGTTGTTCATTGTATTTTGATTGGATGCTGAGAAGGTGCTGCTGGCTTTCTTGTTGAGATCTACTACTGCATAGCCTCCAGATTTCTACATTCCCTTATTTAAGGGGCAAGGGACCTTCATACGTTTGTGGATCTTCAGTGAATCTCCAAGATGGATAGACCGTGAATTTCCCTTAATTTCTTTGACTCTATCCATGCAGCCCATGGCTGACTGAGTGGTAACTCTTTCCAAAGTCACTTTCAATTCCAAATTACAGACAACAACTACAGGTAAGCTAGATTTAAAGGTTTCGTTTAATATGAAAGGTTTGAAACATTTTATTGAAGTGCTACAGAATGATTCTCTTGAAACCTTCTGCATTCTACTTTTACCGTGCTGTATTTGTTTTACTGCTGCTAGGCAGTTGCTGTTACGGCTTTTTGAAGGCATGATTGAAAGTTTGCATCTCACAGTATTATGCTACATTATTGTCAGGTAGAATATCCTCATCACAGTATTATGCTACAGTATTGTCAGATGAGGTTTGCATCTCAAGTTGTTGTTGTCCCCTGACGCAAAAGGGCAAATGCCCTGGCATCTGCGACTTGTCCGAACATTGTTAATTTATTGTTGTTTGACCTTTGGGAATCAGAGGTCATTCCTTTCTGGAGAGAGAGCTGAGACACTCTCCCCGTTGACCTCCTCTGCATCAGCCCAGCCAGGTGATGTACCCTATCTAATGAGACACATAATGACATTAGCAAATCGTATGTGCCCTGGCTCCTGATTCAAGTGCTTCACCATTGCGACAGTCAGGCTGCAGTTGACTGTAGCAGTACAATGGTGTATTGTTTAGGCTTTGAACATAAAAGCTTTTGGTACTGATACATCGTAGAGCAGATAGGCTATAGGGAGGACTCTTGGTGAGGGGACCGTTTCTTGCCAAAGAGCTATGTGAAGAGTTAAATATGTGATTTCGTCTGTATGTATTGTGAATCTGTATTTCTGAATCTGCGAATCAAACAGTAATCCCTTGCCCAAGACTGTCTAATCGCAGCTTGGCACACCTTGACAGTTCCTGGGTCACCCCTGAGAGGTTATGTAACTAAACCACTGGTGTGCTTGACAGGCTAATTTTGTCGGCCTTAACAGGCTTATGTCCGGGCACTGTGTATCAGACAGCCTTTGATTGATTTGCCAGTCACAACCTATTAACTGTCTCACCGTCACGTCTTTGGTTATGGGAATGTAAACAGTATGCATTACGAACAGTTACTCCAATTACAAATTCGCTGAATATGGTTTTAGATACAGGGAATTTCCTCAAACCTCACTTTTCCTCTCAATCCGAGATACATGTTCGCAGTGAATACAGGGCTGTTCAGGGGGGAGCAACATTTTTAGAACAGTGCAAAACTGTAGCAGGGGACCCCAGCAGAAATCCCCATCTCAAGAAATGGACAGTATTGACTGTGAGTGTTAGTGTAAATATGAAACAATATGGGACACTGTGACAACACACGGATGTGTCCGAATGACAGTGGGGGGACAAAGTTTCGTAACAGCACACAAGGTTATACTCCCCAAGGGATGTGATTTAAAGGATGATAGGAGCAGGGACGGTCGGGGACCTTTAAGTCGAAGAGCTTTTAAGCCAGACCACAACAAAACCGGGAGACTTGTAGCTGCAGTGACGTGATGAGGCGACTAGGTAGAGGGATGGAGGGAGGAGTGTGAGGAGTGTGAGATGGGGGCATGACCTGAAAGTGAAGACTTCCATCTCAGAGGAATAAGATTACTGTCAGTGTAGCTGTAGGTGGGTGTGGTGGTGGAATCAGGCGCAGGACGCAGAACGTTAGTCCAAAAGACTTTAGTAGATGCACAAAACACAAGCACGAAATAACTGCCCTGAGGCGAGAACTCTGCACGTAGGCGAAAACAAACGGGCGCACTAACAGGTGCGACAAAACACTCCAAACACTATGGAGAATAGCTCAACCGAGCAAACAGTAGAATTACTAGCCAACCGCACGACAGTAAAACAATCACACACAACCCTTGACAAACACAACGAGAACTTATAGGACACTAATGACACTAAACGATAACAGGTGTAACAACAATCAGACAAAAGCAAACGAACATAGAAACATGCAACGGTGGCAGCTAGTATTCCGGAGGCGACGAACGCCGAAGCCTGCCCGAGCAAGGAAGAGAGGCAGCCTCGGCCGAAACCGTGACAATTACGAAGAAGCTCCATTCACTGGAAAATCACTGCGTCCTCAGACCGGCCCAGATCAGAGGGCAGAGATCACATAGGTTAAGGTTAAGTCTGGGCAAATGGGGAATTGCAGTGGGGTCGCCCCCTCAAAAATAATACAAAAAATAAGAGTACAGATAATTGTATGCGACAATATAGAAATGTTTTTGAAAAATATAATTAGAAAAATACAGTTTTACTGAGTAAATGAATTTATTAATTTTCTTAACTTTGAGTGAGATGAAAATGTAAATAACTGAAGGTTATTTGTTGATGTAAAAATCAAAATGTACAGATTTGAAGGTTGTAACGCTAGATTTGGGGTGGGCTCGCAGAAATGTACCTGTACTGTGGGGACAAACAAATAACCCTTTTTTAAAAGAGTGTAGCCTAGTTCAGTGGTTCCCAACTCCAGTCCCCCAGTTCCCCCAACAGCACACATTTTTGTTGTATCCCCGGACAAGAACACCTGATTCAAGTCATTAAGGGTTTGATGATTAGTTGACAGGTTGAATCAGGTGTGCTTGTCCAGGGTTACAATAATAATGTGTACTGTTGGGGGGACTGGAGGATCAGGGTTGGGAAACACTGGCAGTGGTGGAAAAAGTACCCAATGTCATACTTGAGTAAAAGTATAGATACCTTAATAGAAAGTTACTCAAGTAAAAGTGAAAGTCACCCAGTAAAATACTACTTGAGTAAAAGTCTAAAAGTATTTGGTTCTAAATATACTTAACTATCAAAAGTAAATGTAATTGATAAAATATACTTAAGTATCAAAAGTACAAGTAAAAGTATAAATCATTTAAAATGCACAATTTTCTTGCCACCTGACACCCTCCCTGTCTCTTACTTTCTCTTTCTCTCTGTCTCCCATGTCTCTCTCTTTACCCACTCGTTCAGTCTCCTCTCTCTTCACCCACTCGTTCAGTCTCCTCTCTCTTTACCCACTCGTTCAGTCTCCTCTCTCTTTACCCACTCGTTCAGTCTCCTCTCTCTTCAACATCATTGTGATAGTATGATTATATTATCATTCTGTTTGCCAATCAGTATCCGAGCCATTATTACAAATGGACAAGAAACCACATCAAACCCTTATTGTGTGCTGCATCAGTAACCTTTTCACCAGAACAAATATGGTAATACCTGTCGACACAGCTAGGCATTATGGGTCAAGGAGGAGTAAATTAATAAACCACCTCTCCATCTCTTTCTCTATCTCTCTCTTCTCTCTCTCTAGTGCCAACACAATGCAGAAGCAAGTGGAGGTCAGAATGCATGAAAGCCATTTGGAGCCCATCGTGGAGCCTCCTCAGCCTATGTGTTGGGGAATATGCAGCAAAATCATGAATAACTTGGTTCTTTTCCTCACCATCCTTGGTAAGTTAGTTTAGATGTGACTGCGGTTGTTACTGTCTTGGTAAGTTAGCCTGCCGTTTAGATGTGACTGTGGTTGTTACTGTCTTGGTAAGTTAGCCTGTCGTTTAGATGTGACTGTGGTTGTTACTGTCTTGGTAAGTTAGCCTGTCGTTTAGATGTGACTGCGGTTGTTACTGTCTTGGTAAGTTAGCCTGTCGTTTAGATGTGACTGTGGTTGTTACTGTCTTGGTAAGTTAGCCTGTCGTTTAGATGTGACTGTGGTTGTTACTGTCTTGGTAAGTTAGCCTGTCGTTTAGATGTGACTGCGGTTGTTACTGTCTTGGTAAGTTAGCCTGTCGTTTAGATGTGACTGTGGTTGTTACTGTCTTGGTAAGTTAGCCTGTCGTTTAGATGTGACTGTGGTTGTTACTGTCTTGGTAAGTTAGCCTGTCGTTTAGATGTGACTGTGGTTGTTACTGTCTTGGTAAGTTAGCCTGTCGTTTAGATGTGACTGTGGTTGTTACTGTCTTGGTAAGTTAGCCTGTCGTTTAGATGTGACTGTGGTTGTTACTGTCTTGGTAAGTTAGCCTGTCGTTTAGATGTGACTGCGGTTGTTACTGTCTTGGTAAGTTAGCCTGTCGTTTAGATGTGACTGAGGTTGTTACTGTCTTGGTAAGTTAGCCTTTCGCACAATTGTGTACAACGTCATCCATTCCGTATGATATATCCTACGAATAGCAAAAAATGTATATTTTCTTTCATTTTTTGCAACTCGTATGTTATGCTCCGAATTCCAATTCGTACAACATGTACAACAGCATCTTTAACATTGAAAGGTGTGGGGGTTTGATATAATTGAGTTTTTAGATATAATTGAGTTTTTCTGTACTTGTTCACCTCCCAGCCCTCACAGTGCATAAGGTTGCCTAAAACATGTGGGTGAAAGTGTAGCGAGAGCCGAGGTAGAGCTTGTTGTGTTCAGGGAATAAACACTAGCTGATGTGTATGAATACAAAATAACCTGGTGTGTGTAAAAGTAGGTTCTTTATAAGACTATTATAAGCACTAAGCATCGAGGTCTTAAATGACCACTTTAATCGGAAAACACACATCTTTAAGTTGAAGAACACAGCTTTGTCCTCCATTTTTTTTTTATACAAAAAAAAAAACAAGCAGTGAGCAAAATAACAGTAACATTTTAAATAGATGGGATGACACACCTAACGGGAGATCTGAATAATGCAACAGAAAACCAATGTGAGGTCCAGTTGATATAACCGTGGGTTCTCTCTCTCTCTCTCTCTCTCTCTCTCTCTGTGTGTTTTAGGGGTGATCGTTGGCTCTGTTTCTGGAATACTACTGCGTCCCATGTCGCCGCTCCCCCCTGATGTGATCATGGTCATCTCGTTCCCAGGAGACATCCTGATGAGGATGCTGAAGATGCTCATCCTGCCCCTGATCATCTCCAGTCTCATCACAGGTGGGAGACCATAACCCTGACATTATTTGTATGTGTATTTATTATGGATCCCCATTAGTTCCTGCCAAGGTAGCAGCTACTCTTCCTGGGGTTTATTATGGATCCCCATTAGTTCCTGCCAAGGCAGCAGCTACTCTTCCTGGGGTTTATTATGGATCCCTATTAGTTCCTGCCAAGGCAACAGCTACTCTTCCTGGGGTTTATTATGGATCCCCATTAGTTCCTGCCAAGGCAGCAGCTACTCTTCCTGGGGTTTATTATGGATCCCCATTAGATCCTTCCAAGGCAGCAGCTACTCTTCCTGGGGTTTATTATGGATCCCCATTAGATCCTTCCAAGGCAGCAGCTACTCTTCCTGGGGTTTATTATAGATCTACATATCTACAATACAAAATGTTTAATACCACCCGTACAACAATATGACAATGTACTGTACGTGTGTGTAGATTGCGTGTGCTAGCGTGTCTGCATTAGCACTAGTAGCATTGTACGTTAGAGTGTTATTATAGCATTTATCCACAGGAGGTTGGTGGCACCTTAATTGGGGAGGACGGGCTCGTGGTAATGACTGGAGCTGAATCAGTGGAATGGTATCAAACACGTCAAACACATGGTTTCCAGGTGTTTGGTTCCATTCCATTTGCTCCGTTCCGGGCCTTTATTATGAGCCGTCCTCCCCTCAGCAGCCTCCACCGCATTCATCACTAGAGTATTTGGAAGTCATATCTTCTGCAGTTTGCGTGACCGGTTGTTGAACTGCGGGCCTCTCTCACCTCTCTCCCACTCCAGGACTGGCAGGGTTGGATGCCAAGTCCAGTGGTCGCCTGGGCACCAGAGCCATGGTTTACTATATGTCCACTACGGTAATCGCTGCCGCTCTGGGCGTCATTCTGGTGCTGGTCATCCACCCAGGGAACCCCAAGCTGAAGTCCAACCTCGGACCGGGCAAGAAGAATGACGACGTCTCCAGTCTGGATGCCTTCTTCGATCTCATTCGAAACCTTTTCCCAGAAAACCTGGTTCAGGCCTGCTTCCAGCAGATCCAGACGGTCACCACAAAAGTCCCCGTGCCTACCAACAGGACCAGGGGTCCACCACAGTTTACCATCAAAAAGGGTCTCCAGTACAAGAGTGGGATGAACGTGCTAGGTTGGTACACTTACTGGAAAACATGCTCAACTCTAAACTGGAATGAGTTATTTTCTTAGCAGTCCAAATAACTGACTTTCCACCTTTTTGCCTCCTTTGAAACTGTAGGTTTGATTGGGTTCTTTGTGGCTTTCGGGATAATCATGGGGAAGATGGGAGAAAAAGCCAGGCTCATGCTGGAGTTTTTTAACGTTCTCAATGAGATCGTCATGAGGATTGTTGGCATGATTATGTGGTAAGTGTCATCCTCTCTAGAGTTATATTACCTCTTGAATATAGTTTTCCCCTCCTAAACTAGCAGGTATTCTAGGAAGTCCACTCTAGTCACTGTGGCCAAAGGAGAAAAGTGTTATTTATTACAGGAAATTAGCCTCCGATGTACATGTTTGCCCCAATGTTCTCAATTAGATACTGAAAATATACTACTTACCTTTTATTTGTGTTACCAAACTGCAAAACTAATCTCACCAAGGACTCTCCCAGGTATTCCCCTTTCGGTATTGCCTGTCTCATCTGTGGGAAAATCATCTCAATCGATGATCTGGAAATGGTTGCCAGGCAACTGGGAATGTACATGGTGACCGTGATCGTGGGCCTTGTCATCCACGGTGCCATATTTCTACCACTAATATACTTAGTCATCGTCAAGAAAAACCCCTACGTCTTCTTCATGGGCATCTTCCAGGCCTGGGTCACCGCTATTGGGACAGCATCTAGGTACAAGACCAAAACCTATTCTCTTCCTCTGTGATACTTATTATCGCCTTCTCTAGAACCAGTTCTAGAACCCATTCTAGAACCTATTCTAGAACCCATTTAGAACCCATTCTAGAACCCATTCTTTGGACATGTAATGCATGAGATCATGGTCCTGCTTTTTCATGTCTGCTTGCATTTCCACTGGCTTCAGTGACACTGAATTGTATTGGAGCTCTGGTTGTCAATCTGCTTGTTTATGATAAGACAGACAAAACAACATGGCGTTACTTGTTTCGTCTCCAATCTACAGATAAACTAAAAACAAGAGTAATGTCTTCAATGTGCATACAGTGCAAAGTTGCTTCAAAGATGAAAAACCTTTGCCTAGTTTAGGATACAATGTTAATTCATATTAAGGACTCTGCATTACCCAACCTATTTGATAGATTGTATGACAGAGTAGGTTTTGAGCCACAGCCGAAGCTCACACTGAGATGATAACAGCAACAGAGATGTGGTTCATGCCCTAGAGGGGTGTCCACATTGCACGTGTCGTCTGATACCTTCATGCATGAGACCAGCTTTGTGGTGCTTAGCTACCACCATGTAAATAGACTCTTGTCGACTAATATTACTGCTTAAAGTAAGATCCTTTAAAAGTCACCCTTTGGGAGAACATGATGCTCAACTTATAATATACATATTATGCAAATTCAGTGTTTAATACAATTCCAAGGCTTGTGATATGTACTAAGTACAAGTTTTGTACCCGTCTCTCAGCGCTGGCACCCTGCCAGTCACATTCCGCTGTCTGGAGGAGAACTTGGGCATCGACAAGCGAGTGACGCGATTCGTGCTCCCCGTGGGCGCCACCATCAACATGGATGGCACTGCGCTTTACGAGGCTGTGGCAGCCATCTTCATCGCCCAGATGAACAACATCGACCTCGACTATGGCCAGATCGTCACTGTCAGGTAGGACACTTCGGATTCTGGTCCTACATGACTAGGCCCCTGTGTTTTGGACTATCATGTCACATGACCTAGGATTTAACCTTTTTTTTAAAAGCCTTTTCCAGAAATGAGAATGACATCAAAAATAAAAGCATTTGTCTGAGGATGGTGCTGGACCATCTGACATAAAAAGAAAAGGGACTGTTTGTTGAAAACACTTGACATAAAGGTTCAAATTCAGGTCATGTGACATGATTGTCCAAAACACAGGGCCTTATACATGACAGATTGACCTTGACAAAGGACATTTAGTCATGTAGCTACAATATAAGGTTGAAATGAGTGTATGTGTAATTGACTGAGATCTCTCATCCTAACCGTAGCCTGACAGCTACCTTGGCCAGTGTGTAATTGACTGAGATCTCCCATCTTTACGGTAGCCTGACAGCTACCTTGGCCAGTGTGTAATTGACTGAGATCTCCCATCCTAACCGTAGCCTGACAGCTACCTTGGCCAGTGTGTAATTGACTGAGATCTCCCATCTTTACGGTAGCCTGACCGCTACCTTGGCCAGTGTGTAATTGACTGAGATCTCCCATCTTTACGGTAGCCTGACAGCTACCTTGGCCAGTGTGTAATTGACTGAGATATCCCATCCTAACCGTAGCCTGACAGCTACCTTGGCCAGTGTGTAATTGACTGAGATCTCCCATCTTTACGGTAGCCTGACCGCTACCTTGGCCAGTGTGTAATTGACTGAGATCTCCCATCTTTACGGTAGCCTGACAGCTACCTTGGCCAGTGTGTAATTGACTGAGATATCCCATCTTTACCGTAGCCTGACAGCTACCTTGGCCAGTGTGTAATTGACTGAGATCTCCCATCTTTACGGTAGCCTGACAGCTACCTTGGCCAGTGTGTAATTGACTGAGATCTCCCATCTTTACTGTAGCCTGACAGCTACCTTGGCCAGTGTGTAATTGACTGAGATCTCCCATCTTTACGGTAGCCTGACAGCTACCTTGGCCAGTGTGTAATTGACTGAGATCTCCCATCTTTACGGTAGCCTGACAGCTACCTTGGCCAGTGTGTAATTGACTGAGATCTCCCATCTTTACGGTAGCCTGACAGCTACCTTGGCCAGTGTGTAATTGACTGAGATCTCCCATCTTTACGGTAGCCTGACAGCTACCTTGGCCAGTGTGTAATTGACTGAGATCTCCCATCTTTACGGTAGCCTGACAGCTACCTTGGCCAGTGTGTAATTGACTGAGATCTCCCATCTTTACGGTAGCCTGACAGCTACCTTGGCCAGTGTGTAATTGACTGAGATATCCCATCTTTACGGTAGCCTGACAGCTACCTTGGCCAGTGTGTAATTGACTGAGATCTCCCATCTTTACGGTAGCCTGACAGCTACCTTGGCCAGTGTGGGAGCAGCCAGTATCCCCAGCGCTGGATTGGTGACCATGCTGCTGATCCTAACAGCCGTTGGGTTACCTACCCAAGATATCAGTCTGTTGGTTGCCGTCGACTGGCTGCTGTGAGTACCTGCATTCACATGTACAGAGAATACATTTCCACACACACACACACAAATATCTTCTTGTTACCTCAGGACAAAACTCTGGTCTTCCTCCAAATATAGTCCTCAGCTTTGTTCCCCCGAGAGATTACCTTCTGCACTTGTCTGTCTCTGTGTCTCCCTCCCCCACCCTAAAAAAAAAAATACAGGGATCGGTTCCGAACCTCCGTCAACGTGGTTGGGGACTCCTACGGGGCGGGTATCGTATACCACCTATCCAAAGATGAGCTCGACGCGTTTGACGCCGCGCAAAAAGTTGATGAATTTGAGTTGACAAAATCACAATCCTTCTTCGAGAACAACACCAACCAGTGTGTTTACGCTGCAGCCCACAACACAGTCATGATAGATGATTGCAAGGTACTTTTCATCTTTAAGGATATAGAGACGTGTATGTAGACTTCCCCTTAACTGCTGCTTTTTCTTTTCTTGTCATTTGGTATGTCGACATACATTGATGTCACCTTATACAGTTATTTTGGAGAAAACGATATTACAAGGTGGAGAAGTTAAATAAATATGCTCTTAAATTTATTTACTCATCCGCTAATTATTTGGAAAAGCAGTTTTTTGTGATACCTGTGTGCTTTTGATCGAAATTCTGATGTTATGTTTTTGACACAATTTGTATTTTGAAAATATTTTTCGCACTTTACTTTTCTTCGTATGTCTTGTATTAATCTGTGACATGAGTGGGATTTTTTTTCTTCATTGGACATGTATTTGTGGCAGCCCTGCTTACATGATTCGATTCAGTTTTAGGGCACATTTTTTATTCAACATTGTATGGCTAGTGGTACACATGAAGACTGCTATTTCATCATGTTCATCCAAACAATGACAGACATATTATGGACCTGTCAAAAATCCTTATTTCTACTGTAGATAGTTATCTTTTATACCAAAAACTCAATGCTCTTATTATCAGAGCATTTTACTTATCCATTTGTCATGGATCATTGTTCTATTGCATTGCTTCTATTGCATCTTTATCTTGGCCAGGTCGCAGTTGTAAATGAGAACCTGTTCTCAACTGGCTTACCTGGTTAAATAAAGGTGAAATAAAATAAATGGGGCAATTACTAATCTCTGTTTTATACTGTTATTTAGTTGTTTTCTTACAATCGATTTATTCAACATTATCGTACCGGTAATTCTGTTGGGCAGAGAATCCATAAAATACATGGCCGAGATAGAAAACAAAACTGACTCATCAATGTTTGACGTTCTCCTGTCAGTGAGAAAACACTGTCTTCTGTATCTACTGTCGCTTCAGTATTCAGAGAGTATTCATTTCTTTCTTTTTCTTTTCTATTTGGACCAAATTTGCGGGATTCCCAGTAAATTCAACCAATTCAACCAAAATTCAACCAACCAGCCAAATTCAACCAAAAGGATGGCCTGCAAGTATTACCACCTTGGTTTCTCTGCTCCAAAAAACTTTGACAGCTTGAACATGACTGTGCCTTGGTCTTACGGTTAGATGTCCCTGGTAATTGCTTGCAGGTATCCATGGGCAATGGAAACGGCCATCCCAACGGCCACACCAACACTGCAGATTTCTCTCTTGTTGAGGAGGAACCATGGAAACGAGAGTAAAGCAGCACCTTGCTCCGCCTCATCCTGACTTCCACAAGCTTCCCTTCCTGGCCAAAATAAAGAAAGTAACCACACCTAGCCCTGTAACCACTAGCTTTGGTGCACTTCCTGTGGTCTGAATGTGGTCAGTTCATTGACCATGGGATGAAGCTGCCCCTCCCACAAACAACGTAGGCACCACAAGTTAAAAATGACCTATCCACTTGTACCTATCGTAAACAATTGTCTCAATTAGATTAGGACTTCCAAATGACATTGCTTAACCTGTGCTGGTGCTTTGTAAGGCACTGTTTAGTGTGATGGACCCATTCAGGTGGCTGTATTCTGAACCTGTTTAGTGTGATGGACCCATTCAGGTGGCTGTATTCTGAACCTGTTTAGTGTGATGGACCCATTCAGGTGGCTGTATTCTGAACCTGTTTAGTGTGATGGACCCATTCAGGTGGCTGTATTCTGAACCTTACTCGACACTGCATGTTCTCTGATATACGCAATGCAGCACTTTTGTTGCTGCACAACCTTTTGGGGAAAAAGCAATCCTTCTCTCTGTGTTTTATGTATAACAAATGTAGGGGTTTTGTTAGCGCCAGAGGCAGATCAGAGAATGTGTGCTCATGGGATGTGGCCTTGTCAGTTGTATAGAAGGACCAGTTGAGGAGTGTTATGATGGGAAGCCCCTCCTTAGAGAACTATTCTGCCAGTCATTATTATTCCTGTCATGAGTTGTGCAGGGTCACAACCTCATAGCTATGTTCCAGAAACGCTTGATGTTCCAGGGATTGCTGGATATTCAGTGGTGGTCGATTCAATTTTCTATGGTTTCCAGAGTGGCTTTGACGCTTTCTAAAAACCTGCTGCCTTCTAATAGCACTAAGAATAAAATAACTTAAAGAGCCTTGGTAATGCACATTTTCTTAAAGATAAAACAAGTGCAAAACGCCAAGGCAAACACTGAACTATCTAAAAAAGCCCTTGACTTTACTACTGCCTCTTGTTGCAGTCAACCCATAGCAGTGAACAGGTTCTGAAAACGTTACCGTAACAACAACCCCGCAGCAAAGGGAAGTAGAATGTTGACTATGTGGCGTCCCCAGGGCCAGAATAAAAGGAAGTGCCGGTTGTTGAAGAAGCTGCAATACCTTTGACTGTTTTGACTTTGAGGATTAAACTCTGGCATCGGCACACATGATCAGCCTCTAAGCACTGGAGCTTACCTCTGGACTTAACATCACTAAATGCCTCCAAATGTGGCTGCTACGTATTTATAGACAGCCAACGATGCAAGGTGCATATGGACAGCATTAGGAAGACATGTGCAGAGGCAGGTAGAGTATTTAATGCGTTCCCTCCCCTGGCTGTTAGAGTACAAACACACCAACAATTAATATATTATATATGTTTTTATGTGTGTGTGTCTGTATATACTGTATGTGTGCATTTGAGTGTGTGTGTGAACGTGTGTGTCAAAGAAAGAGTGAGAAAGCGAGAACAAAAGAGAGAGTTAGAGATGGCAGGTAGAGAGAGAGTTAGAGATGGCAGGTAGAGAGAGAGAGTTAGAGATGGCAGGTAGAGAGAGAGAGTTAGAGATGGCAGGTAGAGAGAGAGTTAGAGATGGCAGGTAGAGAGAGAGAGTTAGAGATGGCAGGTAGAGAGAGAGTTAGAGATGGCAGGTAGAGAGAGAGTAGAGATGGCAGGTAGAGAGAGAGAGTTAGAGATGGCAGGTAGAGAGAGAGTTAGAGATGGCAGGTAGAGAGAGTTAGAGATGGCAGGTAGAGAGAGAGAGTTAGAGATGGCAGGTAGAGAGAGAGTTAGAGATGGCAGGTAGAGAGAGAGAGTTAGAGATGGCAGGTAGAGAGAGAGTAGAGATGGCAGGTAGAGAGATGAGAGTAGAGATGCAGGTAAGAGAGAGAGTTAGAGATGGCAGTAAAAGAGAGAGTTAGAGATGGCAGGTAAGAGAGAGAGTTAGAGATGGCAGGTAGAGAGAGAGTTAGAGATGGCAGGTAGAGAAGAGAGTAGAGATGGCAGGTAGAGAGAGAGTTAGAGATGGCAGTAGAGAGAGAGAGTTAGAGATGGCAGGTAGAGAGAGAGTTAGAGATGGCAGTAGAGAGAGAGTTAGAGATGGCAGGTAGAGAGAGAGATTGAGAGAGTTAGAGAGGGCAGGTAGAGAGAGAGAGTTAGAGATGGCAGGTAGAGAGAGAGAGTAGAGATGGCAGGTAGAGAGAGAGAGTAGAGATGGCAGGTAGAGAGAGAGAGTAGAGATGGCAGGTAGAGAGAGAGAGTAGAGATGGCAGGTAGAGAGAGAGAGTTAGAGATGGCAGGTAGAGAGAGAGAGTTAGAGATGGCAGGTAGAGAGAGAGAAGAGAAGCCGGTCAGTGCATTGTGTGTTTGTATTTCTATGCTAAACGACAACCTTGCCTTGTCAACTACAATCTGTTCAGTCAGTCAGCGTGATGATTACGACAATGTTAATTACAGTCAAATAATCCATATCACCAGAAAAATTGCCCTTCGATTTGGATTTGAAAAGTCCAGCTCCATTTCCAGCATGCTACTTTGTGACACTCTCGAAAAAGGAAGGCCGGTCCTACCTTTTTGTAAAGTTTTATTTCAGACACTTCCTAAAATGCATGCCGTATCAACATGCTAAATATAAAGACAGCAAAAGTAGCTTGTAATTACAGATAGGACTATTTGGGGCTAGGCGTGTGTTCACAGCACTGTACAAACCTCTGGACCAGTAAGGTTATATAACAACAAGTCCATAACCTTGCAATGGATGCTGGGTAGTATCGCAATTAGGGCACTGAGCTTTACACCAGTACAGTGTCTCAAAACCACTCTGAACGGAACCTGATTAAGAGCAACGCCATCTTAAATCTCCATGTTTAAAGTGCCTCCTTGCACTTTGTGTATATAACACATACTAGGTCCAGGTATATATTTAGGTGAAAAGTTGTATAGAATCCTAAACAAATATGATCTCCCAGAGTTTTTGCTCAGGGTTTCTATAATGATAGGAAAACCATATGAAAATGTAGAACTATGTTGTTTGTCCTTTTACTTTGGGTAGTAGTCAACTAGTCTCACAGAGATGTTAACTTTCCAATATGCATATCTAATAGTTTTGTCTTTTTCAGGGAGATAGATGTTGTTAATAGTCTTAATGCATACACAGAATGATGGAGAAAATGTGACTGGAAAAAGAGAAAAATAAGTATATGTATGTATTTTTCACTAATATGGACTGGGTGGTGTTTTATTTTCTGGTTTGTTTTACAGTATCATTGTTACTTTTGTTATTAGGTTGACAAGAGGGAAAAGTCAAATGAAAGGTGTAGTTTTCTCATAGAGGAACCAAGATGACAGGGCAGGGATCAAAAGGGCATTAGTGCTGGCAGCTACTGTATGTATGTATGTATGTTAGCTGAATATCAGGTTATCAGGCAACGTTTCCATAGCAGCTATGTCCACCCCACCTATGCAAAATACTCCTGAGTCTTGTCCAGACATACTGTAGCTTAATATTGTTAAACATCAGTGCTTCATAAATGCATCCTTTCTCAGTTTGGCTTTTCCCTCTTTTTATTTTTCTATGAATATAAATTTAGACCATTCTACTTCTGTCTATTTTCTATCCTTGATTTTGATTCAGTGCACATATGAGTCCAAGAACGTGTTGAACGTTTTCCCTAATTGTTGTGTAATCTGTCTGATGTTGACTGTGTGGTTCTGGAATCTGTCTGATGTTGACTGTGTGACTGTGTGGTTCTGGAATCTGTCTGATGTTGACTGTGTGAGTGTGTGGTTCTGGAATCTGTCTGATGTTGACTGTGTGAGTGTGTGGTTCTGGAATCTGTCTGATGTTGACTGTGTGGTTCTGGAATCTGTCTGATGTTGACTGTGTGAGTGTGTGGTTCTGGAATCTGTCTGATGTTGACTGTGTGAGTGTGTGGTTCTGGAATCTGTCTGATGTTGACTGTGTGACTGTGTGGTTCTGGAATCTGTCTGATGTTGACTGTGTGAGTGTGTGGTTCTGGAATCTGTCTGATGTTGACTGTGTGACTGTGTGGTTCTGGAATCTGTCTGATGTTGACTGTGTGAGTGTGTGTGGGAGTGAGAGTGAACTAAAGAAAGTGTGAATTTAATTTTACAAAAATGTAAAAATATAATTTTCTCTGTCAGACAAATGGACTAAAAGTGTGTAAAGTGTTTTACTACTGTTTGTGTACATATAATTATGGAAACCAATAAATGAAAAAAATAAAACAAAATAGCAGATTGTTTCTTTCATGACTTATGGTCCCAGAGTAGTAATGCATGATAATAGTTGTTGGATTTAAACAACAATAGCTGTAGTTAGTTCATAGGTTAAAATGATCTGAAGTGCACTTTATATGAATAGAGAAAGCATTTAGTGTAGGTGACTAATGAAGTTGTCACGATCGTTACAGGAAGCGGACCAAGGCGCAGCGTGTGAAACAAACATGACTTTATTTAATTAAAGTATCAAACAAAACACGACTCGTGAAGTCCACGGTTAACAATACCGACACGGAACAAAAACCCACAACACCCAAGGGAAAACATACAGTTTAAATATGGCTCCCAATCAGAGACAACCAGCAAACAGCTGACACTCGTTGCCTCTGATTGGGAGTCACATCGTCAAACATAGAATAAAACAAACTAGAATACCCAACATAGAAAATGAACACATAGAATGAACACACCCTGGCTCAACATATAGAGTCCCAGAGCCAGGGTGTGACAGTACCCCCCCCTAAAGGCGCGGACTGCGACCGCGCCTCAACTAAACAAAACAGGGGAGGGCTGGGCGGGCCTACCTCATTGGTGTTGGTTCTGGCTCCGGCCTTGACCACCACCCTTCAATACACCCCCCAATGCGCCCCTGGTCCAGTCTGTCGACTCGCACCCCTGGCCTGGTGCGTGGAGGAGGAACGGGCCTTACCAGGCTGACGACGCGCACCCCTGGCCTGGTGCGTGGAGGAGGAATGGGCCTTACCAGGCTGACGACTCGCACCCCTGGCTTGGTGCGTGGAAGAGAGACGGGCCGGACCGGGCTGGCGACGCGCACTGTAGGTTTGGTGCGAGTGGCAGGAACAGGCCGGGTCGGGCTGGCGACGCGCACCGTAGGTTTGGTGCGAGTGGCAGGAACAGGCCGGACCGGGCTGGCGACGCACACCGTAGACTTGGTGCGGGTGGCAGGAACAGGCCGGACCGGGCTGGCGACGCACACCGTAGGCTTGGTGCGTGGAGCAGGGACAGGCCGGACCGGGCTGGCGACCCACACCGTAGGCTTGGTGCGTGGAGCAGGGACAGGCCGGGCTGGGCTGTCGACGCACACCGTAGGCTTGGTGCGTGGAGCAGGGACAGGCCGGGCTGGGCTGGCGACGCACACCGTAGGCTTGGTGCGTGGAGCGGGAACAGGCCGGGCTGGGCTGTCGACGCACACCGTAGGCTTGTTGCGTGGAGCAGGGACAGGCCGGGCTGGGCTGGCGACGCACACCGTAGGCTTGGTGCGTGGAGCAGGGACAGGCCGGGCTGGGCTGGCGACGCACACCGTAGGCTTGGTGCGTGGAGCGGGAACAGGCCGGGCTGGGCTGTCGACGCACACCGTAGGCTTGTTGCGTGGAGCAGGGACAGGCCGGGCTGGGCTGGTGACGCACACCGTAGGCTTGGTGCGTGGAGCAGGGACAGGCCGGGCTGGGCTGTCGACGCACACCGTAGGCTTGGTGCGTGGAGCAGGAACAGGCCGGACCGTACTGGGAACACACACCACTGGCTTTAAACGGGGATCAGGAACGGGCCGGACCGGACTGGCAATACACCTCAGTACCTCTCGCCGTGCCTCTACAACTTCCTTCCCTCCTCTCGCCAATGGCTCCCGTAACCCGGTGGCCTTCTCTCCTCGTCTCCTATTTCGCCCTGTGGCAGCCTCCTGCTGCCCAGTCGCCCATGCCGTGTGCCCCCCCCTAAAAAATTATTGGGGGTGCCTCTCGTCCGTCCGACGATGGCACTGCTGACGCCGCTGCTCCTCTCTCGCCAGGGCCTTGATCCTACCCCAAGGTCCCTTGCCCCCGAGCATGTCCTCCCAGGACCACACTTTGCCCACCTGGGCCATCGCCAGCCTCTCCATCTCCTTTCCTGGCGCTTCCTCCCATGTCCAGTCTGCCTGCTCCTGGACACGCTGCTTGGTCCTTTTATGGTGGGTTTTTCTGTCACGATCGTTACAGGAAGCGGACCAAGGCGCAGCGTGTGAAACAAACATGACTTTATTTAATTAAAGTATCAAACAAAACACGACTCGTGAAGTCCACGGTTAACAATACCGACACGGAACAAAAACCCACAACACCCAAGGGAAAACATACAGTTTAAATATGGCTCCCAATCAGAGACAACCAGCAAACAGCTGACACTCGTTGCCTCTGATTGGGAGTCACATCGTCAAACATAGAATAAAACAAACTAGAATACCCAACATAGAAAATGAACACATAGAATGAACACACCCTGGCTCAACATATAGAGTCCCAGAGCCAGGGTGTGACAGAAGTGCTATATTGGTTTATAAATGTATCCACTCTACTGTAGTTGTACCTATGCATTGGGAATGATAACACTCTCTAATACTAAAAGAACACTCTGAGTGCTTAAAACAAATAAAAAATAAAAGTATATTATACTTACTATAACTCACATACTGGCATTCATCCGAATAATACATAATGCCATAAGTAAGCAGGATTTTACACCCAGTGGCCCCTAGGTAGGTTGGTATTAAGACTTAACTTTCTAATATACTTGACTTATTCTGTCTGTGTACCATTTATGGGAGTACCTGAGTAAACATCTAGAAAGCCATTCATCTATATTCTGAATGAAGTCTGTATTTTGTTTTACAGGATGATCAACAACATGTACACAATTAATGTTTGTTGATAAAAAATAGTGCAATATCAAAACAAAAACAACAACGACAACAACAACAACAAAGGTCGGTGAGTGAGAATTTGAAATACAGTATTACCTTTTTTTTTGTTTTCTTGTTTCTATCAATGGATATGACAATGTTTGATAACAGACATAATGTCAATAGAGATATAGCAACGTGTTTATCCATAGCCCGTCGGAACAGGTGTTTATCAACCTGACTTATCTGGGCTACCAAAGGTCAAAGGGACAGCTCAAACTCACACGCCACAGATCTACAATCTATAATGTCTCCATTCATAGTCATAGAATCCGGTATCACTAGCTACAGATGTAGGGTCTTAATTTGATCACCCGGTTGTTGCAGCAATTTTCCTGCAAGGCAGGAAATGCAAACTTGTAGTGTATTCGAGGTTTAAAAAGGCTTCTAAAGTTTGTAATTTCCACTTAAAAATGTCAGACTTGATTTGCCGTAACTACAAAAATGCTTTATCAACCCCTACAAAAATGTCCATTAATTATAATCCACCAATAATTCACATTTCCAGTTGCTGCAGGATTATTTTCCTGCTGTGAGAAACTGGTAAAATTAAGATCTTACACATTGTGGTCCTCTGTAGCTCAATTGGTAGAGCATGGCGCTTATAATGCCAGGGTAGTGGGTTCGATCTCCGGGACCACCCATATGTGAAAATGTGTGCGCACATGACTGTGTGCGCACATGACACCCATTATACCATCATTGACTAGAATGGGGAGACCCATTCTATTTCTATGGTCTCAATTGTTCTTATTTTGTCCCCGTTCTGCATCTCCTTGGCCCGTCTCAGTCCAGCGGCTCTTTCTCTGGGAGGTCCTCCAGAGGTATAACAGTGTACTCTCCACCGTGGCCGTTTTCCCTTGGCCTCTCTTTAGACAGAAACCTCTCCATTTCCCGCTCCGCCTTCTCATCTCCTGAGCTCGCTCTGGCGACATTCTTCTCAGATGCCTGGGTTGGTGCATTCCACCTGCAAGGCGATTTGACATGGTTTAATTCCATGGTTGTAACTAACTGACAACATGATTCAATCTCATGAACATATTTTGCAGGATGGGTTTGAAAGTGGTGGATTTTACCTGTCTCTGGTACCTATGGCGACACAGATTACGACCAAGACCGCCACGCCCGCGACGATGGCAACGATGACCAACCAACCTGGAGGAGAAGAAGCAGACAGTGAGTGTAGCTCAGTTGGTAGAGCATGGCGCTTGCAACGCCAGGGTTGTGGGTTCGATTCCCACGGGGGGCCAGTATGAAAATGTATGCACTCACTAACTGTAAGTTGCTCTGGATAAGAGCGTCTGCTAAATGACTAAAATGTAAATGGTCTACTGGTCCCCTAATATGTTCACAAAACATTGTCTTCAAATTGAAACTGGAAAAAGGAGCGGAATGTTTCCTGGTGTAACAGTAGTATATCTTCATAGCTGGGCATGTATGATTCAGGAACTGACCTGATGTATATGAATCATGTTGTCCTGATGGGGTTGGTTTTACAGCAGCTCCCTCATGAAGAACTGTGGAAACAGAGATAGATTAACTACAAGGTGGCAACTACAATATACACTCAAAGAGATTTGTTCAATGCGAACAAGAAAACGTTATGTTCTCATTAGAGTAGATAAGAGACCTGCCATAGTGCTGACTATTATAGCAATGGACATTCCCTAGCCCACTCTGCTAACAGATACAATGGGGCGTATTCAGACTCCACAACCCAATACATTTGTGCAAGCCTTCCATTGACATCGATTAATGATTTACGCAAGAAGTATCAGTAAAGTACTAGGATCTCAATTCTGAATGCCACCCAATATGAACACAAGAATATTGGTACACTTCTCCTGGATAAACAGTACTGTACCTGTTGTGGTATCCACTGCCGGTTCCTCCCGTGATGGAGCAAGCCTATTGGTGTCTTGAATTCTTGTCTTCATTTCAATTAATGGCTTTTCGACTAGGGGATTGTATATTTGGTCCTCCTCACCAGCAGGGGCTGCTACTGTGGTGCTACTCTGAGGCAGGAATCCTGACCCCGACCCTTCCATCTCTGCATTCATCCTGACTGTTGTAGGTACGGCAGAACGGGTGGTTGAGGTGGAGGCCAGCTCTGTATTCATCTTTGCAGCCCTGCCTTCCTCCAAGCCTGTCATACTGGTTAGGTTAGAACTAGGTGTGTGGCTGGTCCCGAGGCTTTGGCTAGGTCTGGAGGTGGTAATAAAGCTTGGATCAAGGCTAAGAGGTAACAGGTCTTCTTCTTCTAACTCTGAGATGGGACTATGGCTGGGGCTGGGGCTGGGGCTGGGGTCCGATACACGACTAGGGCTGGGGACGAAGTCTGGGCTGAATATATCATCCTCCAGCTCCTCTAGCTCTGTTGTGGTACTAGCGTCATGAGTTGGATAAGGACTGGGGCTGGGGTTAGGGTCAAGGATTGCGTTAACATCCTCCAAATCCATCGGAAACTCTGTGGTGGGGACAAACTCTGTGGTGGTGACGAACTCTGTGGTGGGGACGAACTCTGTGGTGGGGACGAACTCTGTGGTGGGGACGAACTCTGTGGTGGGGACGAACTCTGTGGTGGGGACGAACTCTGTGGTGGGGACGAACTCTGTGGTGGGGACGAACTTTGTGGTGGGGTCGAACTCTGTGGTGGGGACGAACTCTGCAGTGGGGACAAACTCTGTGGTGGGGCTTTCGGTATCCAGGATCAGGCCCTCCTCATCTTCCTCTGTTGAATCATAGTCATACTTTTCATAATCCTCCTCTGTGCTGCTTCGACTAGGGCGAGGAGTTGGACTGGGGCGGAGGTTCAAGTTAGGTTTAAGATTGTCGTCAAACAGCTCCCCTTCGTCTTCTTGTCCCGAAGTGGAGTGTTTTGTACTGCCCTCAGCAGCGCTGCCCTCTGTAGTACTGCCCTCAGCAGCGCTGCCCTCTGTAGTACTGTCCTCAGCAGCGCTGGCCTCCGTAGTACTGCCCTCTATCTCATCCGTGCTGCCCTCTGCGTCAAAGGTGAGCCACTGGTCTTCCGGGTCAGATGTCACAGGGTCCAGTGTTTCATCACTGCTGGATGTTCCATTGGTGGCGTCCGGGGAACCCACTACAAGCTTCATGAAGAACTTGAAAGCTTCGCCAGGAAAATCCCCAGCAGCCGGAGAGGGGAGTTCTGTAGAAGCTGTGGCAAAGAGAAGGAAAGACCACAGATCAATGTTTACCTCCTGACGTCATGTCCTGACCTTTACAGCAGAGGAAAATTACTGAGCTTTGATGTCTTTGCATGACAAAAGAAGGCCTGGGAGTATCGTAGGTTTTCAGGCTCCTCCCTGGAATACATGTGTGAACCTGTCGTGTTCCGACTAACCATACAGGAAACATCATTATTAACTGGGATGACTAATCGTCTGCCTTTGTGTGTGACTGAGGCAGTTTCATCAAATCATTCGGTTTGATTGAACCGCAACATCAACACACCCAACTCTTTAAAATAAACAATGTCTTGGCTCATTTCTTTTCCCTGTTCTATTGCCATAATTAGCCAACAGTGCTAATTCAAAAGAGTTTAGGATAGGCTTTGGATAGGTGCCCAAATGTTATGCCCCAACAGAGGCATTCACATGAATAATGTGTGCTTATGTCTTATTCCTGCAAAAGGGTGTACTAGGGAGCTAACCAGGAAGAACCTTTTGGGTTGCCACACCGGCAGAACCTTTCCAGTTGAAAAAGGTTATTGGAACCCCTCTGGAACCATCTGTGATGGGAGGGGTTGGAACCCCTCTGGAACCATCTGTGATGGGAGGGGTTGGAACCCCTCTGGAACCATCTGTGATGGGACGGGTTGGAACCCCTCTGGAACCATCTGTGTTGGGAGGGGTTGGAACCCCTCTGGAACCATCTGTGATGGGAGGGGTTGGAACCCCTCTGGAACCATCTGTGAGGGGACGGGTTGGAACCCCTCTGGAACCATCTGTGAGGGGAGGGGTTGGAACCCCTCTGGAACCATCTGTGATGGGAGGGGTTGGAACCCCTCTGGAACCATCTGTGATGGGAGGGGTTGGAACCCCTCTGGAACCATCTGTGATGGGACGGGTTGGAACCCCTCTGGAACCATCTGTGATGGGAGGGGTTGGAACCCCTCTGGAACCATCTGTGATGGGAGGGGTTGGAACCCCTCTGGAACCATCTGTGATGGGACGGGTTGGAACCCCTCTGGAACCATCTGTGATGGGACGGGTTGGAACCCCTCTGGAACCATCTGTGAGGGGACGGGTTGGAACCCCTCTGGAACCATCTGTGAGGGGACGGGTTGGAACCCCTCTGGAACCATCTGTGATGGGACGGGTTGCACTTTGAACCTTTTTAATAATATATTGTAGAGGTGGCAGACTATGAGAAGACTGGAGGCGTGGCTTATTGGAAGTGTGGCTTTCAGATAGCTCTTTTTGGGCAGCCGTTAGAGTAAATGTAATTCCTGTTCACCATGTTAAGTTTGTACACTAGAAATGTCAATGATCGTTCAATATGTATGCATATTTTAACATAATATTAATAATATAAACATTGCTGATTGCATATACTGTAGTGATAAAGTAGTTACTATTCCTAGTTTGGGATTTGCATAGGCTCTTGAGGAACTCATACCTCTGTAAGCCTCATTGCAACTACATGTGAAGACAATACAGCACAACAGATGAAGAGGAATGACATTTACTCTGATGGGTGGCCCCAAAAAAGATATAGCTTAAAGCCACGCCCCTACTAAGCCACGCCTCCACTCCAGGGTTCCTCCTGGAACCTGTTGCTACATTGCAACGTTAAAGGTTCCTCCAAGAACCCCTCAACTAACCAAGGGTGCAAATATGAACCATTGACTAGCAATGATTCCTTGAGAAACTCAAAGGTTCCTTGAGGATCTCCAGGGGTTCCTTGAGGATCTCCAGGGGTTCCTTGAGGATCTCCAGGGGTTCCTTTAGGATTTCCAGGGGTTCCTTGAGGATTTCCAGGGGTTCCTTGAGGATTTCCAGGGGTTCCTTTAGGATTTCCAGGGTTCCTCGAGTCACCACTAATTCTAAGTGTGTACTGTGGCAAGAGGGCTCACTGGGGAGCTAACCAGGGATACTGTGACCCAATCCCAAACTTATCTCTAACCCCTTTCCCAAGGTACTTGTTGAATCCTGCAAAGGATCTTAAGTGTTTGATTGAATGTTGAGTGTCATTAAATAGTGTTTTCAAACAAAAGCAGCAGTTACTGCTCTTAACTTTGACATCAAGTACATTATCCTGTACATCAAGTACATTATCCTGTACATCAAGTACATTATCCTGTACGTCAAGCAATCTCAGGCCTCCATTTTTAACACACTTGCGAACAGTTTTACCTGTACGAGGTTTCTCCCTTCTCACCCAAGCTTATATGAAGCTCACCAAAGCACTTTGATTTCACAGTATTCAGGATATACACATTAATGCACCTGCTGGAACAGCTCAGCAAATGCTACAAAGACTGCTGTGTCTGTCTATGTGGGTTGGGTGGGGGGGGGGATGAGACGTAGGCGCTAAACATGTAATGAATATGTTCCCCCGGTATTCACTGAGCCAGAGTACAGGTAGGCTTGAAACACGACGAGGCTCTCCGGTAGAGTAGAAAAGTGCAGACTCATCAGACGTGGAATAGGATGCACAAAGGATGACTTGAATTCCAGGAGGTCTTAGACAATGACCCATTTTACCTGGCTGCACAACCAATGGCCAGCTGGGGATGCCTTAGTAACTCAGATTAATGCACAACCAATGGCCAGCTGGGAATGCCTTAATAACTCAGATTAATGCACAACCAATGGCCAGCTGGGAATGCCTTAGTAACCCAAATTAATACACAACCAATGGCCAGCTGGGAATGCCTTAATAACTCAGATTAATGCACAACCAATGGCCAGCTGGGAATGCCTTAGTAACCCAGATTAATGCACAACCAATGGCCAGCTGGGAATGCCTTAATAACTCAGATTAATGCACAACCAATGGCCAGCTGGGAATGCCTTAGTAACCCAGATGAATGCACAACCAATGGCCAGCTGGGGATGCTTTAATAACCCAGATTAATGTCTCCTGAAGTCCAGTTATACAATACATAATCAGGTCCATAATTATTGACATCCTTGATAAAGGTGACCAACAATGACTGTATAAAAAAAAAAATACAAATACTGAGCTACGTTGTATGCTCCAAAGAAATTGGGAAATTATATTATTTTATACTAATACAATGACTCAGAGAAAGAGATTTCATTCAACAAGGTAAAAAAAAATATATACTGTACTGAATTAAACTGAACTGAACTGTACTGCACTGTACTCTGCTGAATTCAACTCTACTGGACTGCAATGTACTGTGCTGTACTGTGCTGTCCAAACTTGTGAAACATAGACGTCTTTTCAACGTCCGGAAAATAAGTATTCTAGGTGTCTTTTCAACGTCATTTAGCGTACTGGGTATGTTGTTACAATGGGGATGGTTCTCAGACTGTGACAAGCAACCCCAACTATAATATCTGATCTTGTTTAATGTGAACACAATTTTGCATGCATGCATATATTTGTACATGTGGATGGCCCTGGGAATCGAACCCACAACCCTGGCGTTGCAAGCACCATACGCTACCAACTGAACCATAGAGCAGGGTTTCCCAAATTTGGTCCTGGCACCCCTGGGTGCGTTTTTAGTTTTTTGCCCTAGCATTACACAGCTGATTCAAATAACGAACTCATCATCAAGCTTTGATTATTTGAATCAGCTGTGTAGTGCTGGGGCGAAAACCCAAATGTGCACAGGGGGGGCAGGACCAAGTTTGGGAAACGCTGACAATAGAGGACCACACAATGCAATGCCAGGTGCTAGGTCTGGAGTACAATAACCGGACTTTCTCCCTCTCAGAAACACAAAATCAACATTCCAACTCTTTCACGTACAATGTCAATCTCTCATCAGACTATCACCACTCTGTGTCCCTATCTCATTGCATTAGTTACCATGATAGAAAGAGAGCAATACACAGAGAGAGAGAGAGAGAGAGGCAGTAGTACATTGTTACTCACCAGGTACTGGGTCGGACTGAACAGGTGCCAAAAGTCCCAAAATGACCCCAAGCAGTAGAGTCCACATCTTCAGATCAGAGATAGGCATTGAGGGAGAGATGAGAGACAGTGTACTGCTGTGCTGTGTGGTTCTGTTCCCAAGAGGGATGGCTTGTTTTCCTAGGAGTGTCTGTGGGATGACTGAAGTGGTTTGAAGGATGTAGCTCAACTTTTTTTATACTGGGATGGGAGTCACATCAACGCATCATCAACGGCTAGTGACAGTCTGTGTGTTGGCGGAGGGGGGGGGGGGGGGGGGGGGGGGGGGGGGGGGCTAGAAAACACATGAACACACCTCTTTAATAAACGTCCCTCCTGCTTCAATCTCTGATCTTGGCTTTGCTCTCCCGCCGCGCGGCGGATTCTATATATAGGAGATAGGCTATAGATAATAGAGGCTAATTATATATAGTAGAGGATCTATTCTCTTAAATATATAAAATATAAGTTTTTAATATATACTAAACTCTGGATTTGCATAGGCTAAGATAATAAAATAGGATAGTCTCCTCTCTCTCTCTCCTCTCTACTCTCTCTCTCTCTCTCTCTCTCTCTCTCTCTCTCTCTCTCTCTCTCTCTCTCTCTCTCTCTCTCCCTCTCTGGCTTTCTCTCTCTCTCTCTCTCTCTCTCTCCCTCTCTGGCTTTCTCTCTCTCTCCCTCCCTCTCTCCCTCTCTGGCTTTCTCTCTCTCTCCCTCCCTCTCTCCCTCTCTGGCTTTCTCTCTCTCTCTCCCTCCCTCTCTCCCTCTCTGGCTTTCTGTCTCTCTCTCCCTCCCTCTCTCCCTCTCTGGCTTTCTGTCTCTCTCCCTCTGGCTTTCTCTCTCTCTCTCCCTCCCTCTCTCCCTCTCTGGCTTTCTGTCTCTCCCTCTCTGGCTTTCTCTTTCTCTCCCTCCCTCTCTCCGGCTTTCTCCCTCTCTCTATCTCTATCTCTTTCTCACACACACACACACACTCTCTCTCTCTCTCTAACTCTCCATATCTCTC